GCTCACAGCAACCTCAAACTCTTGGGCTTAAGCAATTCTCTTACCTCAGCCTCCTAAGTAGCTGGGACTATAGGTCCCTGCCACAACACCCAGCTCTTTTTTTGTTATTGTTGTCGTTCTTTTAGCAGGCCCTGGCCAGGTTCAAACCCACCAGCCCCAGTACATGTGGCCAGCACTCTAGCCACTGAGCTACGGGCACTGAGCCAAGATTTTTAACATTTTTTTTTTTTTTTTTTTTTTTGTAGAGACAAAGTGTCACTTTATCACCCTCAGTAGAGTGCTGTGGCTTCACACAGCTCACAGCAACCTCCAACTCCTGGGCTTAGGCGATTCTCCTGCCTTAGCCTCCCAAGTAACTGGGACCACAGGTACCCGCCGCAACGCCCGGCTATTTTTTGTTGCAGTTTGACCAGGGCTGGATTTGAACCTACCACCCTCTGTATATGGGGCTGGCGCCCTACTCACTGAGCCACAGGCGTCACCTGAGATTTTTAACTTTTTATCATGGAGAATTTCAAACATATAGTCAAGAGAATAGCATAATGACCTCCCTTGTATCTATCATCATGTTTCAACAATTAGCCATGATCTGCCAGTCTTAGATTACCTATACCCACACTCATCTCCCTTCCCCACTCAATTATTATGTTTTTCACATTTTTTAAAAGGTAAATTTCCATGCATTGAACTATGCAAATCTTAGCTGTACATTTTTGACAACCATGTAATCCAGATCATTGCAATGTAGAAATGTTTCATCTTCCCAGAAAGTTTTCTCATGTTCTTTCCCAGTTATTCTCGGGGAGAGGGGAAGTTAACTTTTGTGATGGAAAATTTCAGAGTTTAAATAATGAACCCCTGTGTACCCATCACCTAGTTTCAACAGTTATCATCATGTACTTAATCATGTTTTATCTATAGCCATATCCATTCCTTCCCACTCTGAATTATTTTGAAGCAAATCCCAAACATAAATATGATAAATATTCCTGTAAGTATTTTTGAAAGCTAAAAACTCTTTTAAAAATAATACTATTGGCTCGGCGCCTGTGGCTTAAGCGGCTAAGGCGCCAGCCACATACACCTAAGGTGGCGGGTTCGAATCCCCAGCCCAGGCCTGCCAAACAACAATGATGGCTGCAACCAAAAAAAAAAAAAAAATGGCCAGGCGTTGTGGCGGGCGCCTATAGTCCCAGCTACTTGGGAGGCTGAGGCAGGAGACTCGCTTGAGCCCAGGAGTTGGAGGTTGCTGTGAGCGTGATGCCATGGCACTCTACCCAGGGGGATAGCTTGAGGCTCCATCTCAAAAAAGAAAAAAATAATACTATTATGTCTTAATTTTTTTTGACATTTCCTTAATCCGATTTAATGGTGGGAAGTGTGTGTGTGTGGGGGGTACAACAGATTCTTCTTTGTATAAATGGTACTTTAAGAAAAAGTTGGAGTCTCGGCGCCTATAGCTCAGCGGCTAGGGTGCCAGCCACATATACTGGGGCCGGTGGGTTTAAGCTTGGCTGGGGCCTGCTAAAGAATAATGACAACTGCGACCAAAAAATAGCCAGGGAAAACAAACAAACAAAACAAAACACAAAATAGCCAGGCATTGTGGCAGGGGCTTGTAGGCCCAGCTACTTGGGAGGCTGAGGCAAGAGAATCACTTAAGCCCAAGAGTTTGAGGTTGCTGTGAGCTGCGATGCCACTACTGAGGGCAGCATAGTGAGAGTCTTGTCTCAAAAAAAAAAGAAAGAAAAAGTTGGACATAGGGATGATGATGAGGATATTTCAGATTCTTTTCCCATGCTTTCATGTAGCTGCTGCTTTGATAAGACTTTCTGACCCAATATTTTCCTTGCCTTTAGCTCCATTACTTACCACAGCCCAAGTGAAACCAGGAGAGACCCAGGAGGAAGAGGCTAACTCAGGAGAGGTAATAGAAGTGCCTTCTCCCCTATCTTCCTCATACAATAAACATTCTAAGTGGGAGATAGAATATGAAAACATGGGAATGCACACTTGGTTTTTGCAGGGTACCTGGTGCTTCTAGAGCCCTCAGATTCTGTAGCTCTTTGGTTAACAAAAGACATTTACATGATGAGACATTTACATGCATCATCAGAGGTATGAATGTTCACCTGAGGTCACAGGTTACTAATTGAGATGTCTTTTTAAATATGTTGGGAGAGGCTCTTTATTTGAAGGAGAATTATTAATCAGTATTGGTTGGAGATGGGCTGATGTATGTATCCATCACAGGTCATTCCAAGGCCTTGGTTTGCATCTGTTGATCTAGCAAGTTATTAATATCCATTTCTTTTGTATTCTCAAAAGCACCTTGGTTTGGACAGTATGATTACCCTGAGCAAAAAGGATTGTCTGTCATTATAAACTGTGATAATGTCAGTGAACCTGTGGAGCAACATCTTGTGAGATAGTATTGAATACATACTTGAGATTTATCCCAAGTAGCAAGGGAGTTTGGGTATTTACTCACCCATTGCTGACCTCAGGTGGAGTGAGGACCATTAACTCTAGTCAGCACTCCCTGTGGGCAGTGTGAGGGCCAGGGGCCAGAGAAGGACTTCATTGAAAAGGCATGGAGAGGTGACAGTTGAAGTCAGATGTCATTAGATTTTGATCACATATAAATAATATCAAAATACTGAAAACATATAAATTGTCTACTTCACTTATGTGATGGCAAACTTCATTGTCGTCTAATCTGCCTTTTTCCTTGTACCATGAATTTTAGGACATTCTCTTTCCTACCCCTGAATGGTATTGAGAAAACGCAAATTTAACCATAAAGAATAACACAGTTAAGAAATGCTATTCCCCACAAAAACATAAGAGTTGAAGTTTGTTTGTACTAAAGGTCCTTTCTTAGTCTACATATACAAAGATTAGATAGATAATACCTATTAAGTCTTTTTGGTTTATCAAGCCTTATGGGCTATCCATCAAAAGTAAAGCCATATAGTTCTGAGGCTGTTTGGGAAAAAGACTCTACCTTTAAGCTGCCAAAACTCTAATGCCATCGTATTTCTTTCCCAGGAGCCATTTATTGAAACTCGCCAGGATGGTGTCTCTCGAAGATTTATCCCTCCAGCCAGGTGCCTACTACTTCTCAGCCCCCTGTTCCTTACCAAAGACTAGTAGATTTTAACTGAACCCAGGAATCAACACCTGGAGCCAGGTGGTGGAGATGAGTCATCACCTAGCCTTTTAGCTCTTTCAGAAAAGATGTATTCCTTTATAACTGGCCCTTTATCTTCCAGTATTGTTTTTTTTTCCTATAGCCATTCACACAATGGGAAGGGAGAGAAACTCTAATGATGAAGAACTGAGAAAAGTTGAGGGAGTGGTTGACCAATAAGAAAGATGGGCTTGTGAGAAGTTTTAAAATAGCAAATGTTTTTAGTATTCAGGTCCTTAGTTCTCATTGATCCTGGTGAAGGTTGCAGGCAAGGGCTATAATAAAAAGTGATCTTTCCTGATTCTCCCTCCTTTTGACATACACACATATCAATTTTTGATGCCCCCTCCTCTCCCTCCTTAGTCCATCCAGGCCAACCTTCGTGCTGAATGCCCCTGTGGAAGACTAGCATGGCCTTCCCTTGGGAGAGAGGTACCCTTGGGAGGTCAGTCGGGCTAGGAGTGGGTATGCGCCTTGAGGTTCCCTCAGCTGGTACTTGAGAGTCTCTGCCACTGTCACTGCAGTAGGTGGAGGAAGCCTCTCTGCTCCCTCATGTGGCCCGTGGGCGGGGGGCTGTCTGCAGGATGATGTCTACAGAAAGTGCCAACAGCTTCACTCTGATCGGGGAGGCATCTGATGGAGGCACCATGGAGAACCTCAGCCGAAGATTGAAGGTAAGTTGGCCCCATTCTAGTGTCAACACTAGGTCTGGCTGGTAGAGGTGGTGGTTGGGTAGATAGGGGAGGCCCTACCTGACTCTCCCACACTTCCAGGTCACTGGGGACCTTTTTGACATCATGTCGGGCCAGACAGATGTGGATCACCCACTGTGTGAGGAATGCACAGATACTCTTTTAGACCAGCTGGACACTCAGCTCAACGTCACTGAAAATGAGTGTCAGAACTACAAGTGAGTGCCTCTAGAGCCAGGGCCCAGAGCTGTTACTGCTGTAGACTTCTTGGTCCTTATGTAAGAACAACAGGTTCTGTGTGGTAAATATACTCTGCTTGTGTCTTTGACAGACGCTGTTTGGAGATCTTAGAGCAAATGAATGAGGATGACAGTGAACAGCTACAGATGGAGCTAAAAGAGCTGGCATTAGAGGAGGAGAGGCTGATCCAGGAGCTGGAAGATGTGGAAAAGAACCGCAAGATAGTGGCAGAAAATCTTGAGACAGTCCAGGCTGAGGCTGAGAGACTAGATCAGGAAGAAGCTCAGTGAGTACTCAGCTCATTCTATCTTCCTGCTCTCAAGGTCCAGGAGAAGAAATGGCTTCCAGCTGAATGTATCTGAATAGTTTGTCAACTGTAGACAGCTGTCAGTAAACAGCTTGTTTACTTCAGATCCTGCATATTGTTTCCAGGCCCTGTTTTTGTTTTATTTTTATTTTTATATATATTTTTTGAGACGAAGTCTCACTCTGTCCCTTGGGTAGAGTGCCTTGTCATCATCATAGCTCACAGCAACTCTGAACTCCTGGAGTCAAGCGATCCTTTTGCCTCTGTTTTTCTATTTTTAGTAGAGATGGGTTGTTGCTCTTGCTCAGGCTAGTCTCAAACTCCTGATCTCAAGCAGTCCACCCACTTTGGCCTCCCCAGAGTGCTAGGATTACAGGTGTGAGCCACAGCATCCGCTTCCAGACCCTGTTTTTGGAAGTTTGTTGGGGTGGTTATGTGTGAAGAGTCAGCATGATTAACTGGTAAAAGAGTGTTGGTTAAATAGAATGCAGAAACCTATGCTCTAGTCTTGGCTCTGTCCTGTAGGGAATGGGCTCATGTTGACAAGTCAGCCACTTTCCAGCTGTCCTTATCTGGAAGGACGAATATTTTAGCTTATATTTGGTCCCTCTCAGCTCAGAAATTTCATGGATGTTCTTGACCTGAGAGAACCTGATGTCTAGTAACAGAGAAACAGTATGCACTGTAAAATTGAGAAATCAAAAAGACAGAGAAAAATCAGTATTTTCACAGAGTAGTATAACAAGTTTCACTGGAAATGGTATCTAATAACTATTTAAAGGACAATAAGTTTACAAAAGTGAAGCTATAGAAGGCCAATTATGGCCAATTCATGGAAGAAGCCATTCTTACGCCATTCACCTCACTTCCAAAAAAGACCAGAAATAACAATAGTTTTTTGGCTTGGTTTGGGGGGATTTTTTTTTCCTCCACATTTCTATAGCTTATGGGCAGCTGGAATTTGAGATATTTCTGTCCCTCCTGGGCACAACACCTAAGGCATATATTTTCCTCTGAGGAGGTTCTATGCTGAGTATAAAAAAGGCTATGGCTAAATGTATATAACCACAATCAGTAGAGTAACTTGTTCAGGGGGATGGGGAGAAGGAAACTTCAGCCATCAAACTAATAGCCTTCAATGACCCACTTGGCTGCTCACAGGTACCAGAGGGAATACAGTGAATTTAAACGACAACAGCTGGAGCTGGATGATGAGCTGAAGAGTGTAGAAAATCAGATGCGTTATGCCCAGATGCAGCTGGACAAGCTGAAGAAAACTAATGTCTTCAATGCAACCTTTCACATCTGGTAATGAGAGCTGGAGGGTAAGGAGTATCTGGAGAGCACCACACATATCTGGACCTTAGCTGTTGACCACTAAGCCAGGGGGCCTACCTCCCCAAAAGAGGGACTGTATATATCTTCACCCAGCTAGGTTTCTTTCATGCCTTGTGATGGGATAGGCATAGTTGGGATTGGAATTCTAGAGCTTGGTGACATTCACTCTTCTAAGGAAAGAAAAAGGTCTGAGCCTTCTGGCTACACAAAAACCTGGTCAGCTGATTTGATGTTTTATCCATTTAATGAATAACGATTGAGCATCTACTACATATTGAGAGGTAAAATAGAAGTTTGGGGGGTGTGTGTGTGTCTGGGAATAGGGTTGTTCCTGGCAGATAGAACATCATGTGCAAAGAAACAGAAAAAAGGAGTGGTGAATTCAGGTCACTGAAAAAAGTTACTGTGACTGACGCTTGAGGATAAAGGGAAAGTGATCGGATATTAAACTGGAGAGTTACCAGTTCCTAAAGGATATTATAGGCCTCATTAAGGGGCTTGAGCTTGATCCAGAAGACAGTAGGAACCACTGAATCATTTTAGGCAGGGAAGTCACATAAAATGCCACGTTGCATTTACCTGCAATGTGGGAAATGATTTGGGTAAAGGAGGGTGGCATTGTTAATAAGGAGACTGGCAGTAGGAAGGGTGAAGTGGCTCACGCCTGTAATTCTAGCACTCTGAGTGGCAAGGCACGTGGATTGCTTGAGCTCAGGAGTTCCAGACCAGCCTGAGCAAGAGTGAGACCCTGTCTCTACTAAAAATAGAAATACTAGCCTAGGCTCGGTGCCTGTGGCTCAAGTGGCTAAGGCGCCAGCCACATATACCTAAGGTGGCGGGTTCAAATCCAGCCCAGGCCTGCCAAACGACAATGACGGCTGCAACCAAAAAATAGCTGGGCGTTGTGGCAGGTGCCTGTGGTCCCAGCTACTTGGGAGGCTGAGGCAGGAGACTCGTTTGA